TATTGTAGCAGTGATGTGATATATATATATATATATATATATATATATATATATGTGTAATTTTTTTCACTTTACTGTCACAGAAGTTTAGACTGCCACTCTTCACAATGTATCAGAAGCCACCAGATGGAGGATGGGGCTGGGTCATTGTCTCTGCATCCTTCTTTATCCAGTTCCTGTGCTATGGTTCTCCACTTGCTGTCGGTGTCTTGTACGTAGAATGGTTAGATGTCTTTGATGAAGGAAAAGGGAAGACTGCGTGGGTCGGGTCTCTTGCTGCTGGAGTGGGACTGCTTGCAAGTAAGTTGTTCTTCTAAAATTGCTTGAATTTACTAATTGTGCATTAAACACGTGGTTGATATAGAACCACACCTATCTTTGGGCTAATCCATGCAGAAAGTGATATTGCAATGCAGACATTTGTTTGTGTCTTTTATGTTTATCTTCTCACAACAAAGTCATTATAGGTTGGTATATATGCCTCAGTCTTTGTAGGGCAGTCTTTGAGTGCCTCAGTCTTTGTAGGCCATTGTGTGCATCAGAAATGGAAAACCTGGGTGAAGCAGGCTGTAGATATGGCATCACAATTTTGTAATATATACAATCCTTCCTTGAAAATAAGATCATAAAAGAGGAGCCTCTGATTTGTTTTGCATGCTTATGACTCATTAATAAATGTATGATATTGTTCACTCTAATTATGGGGACAGAAAACATCTGTTCTCTCTATTAGGTCCTTTCCTGTTTATTGTAGTATTGACATTGTAATCAGGCCACTCATATTAATCTGAGCTAGCCTGCTTGATCTGAAAATATTATTTACATTTTTTTTATTTGTTTATTTTTTGTTTAAGTTGATGCTCACTATTTTGTTTGACTTGGACAATATGTGCACATTTAAATGATCAGTTATTTATTGTGTGTGTGTGTGTGTGTGTGTGTGTGTGTGTAATATAGGGTTCATTTGTGGCAATACTCTGCTTTGCAATTTATTCTGAGGCATTTATTTAAAAAGTAGTGAATCTGCCATCCACCAAATATTCACTGCAGGTGAATCTTCCAGGTTCATATGTTTTAAATGGCAGTGATTTTTTCACTACCAATGAATTGTAAAAATAACATTCACTGTTTTATAACTATGCCGCTTTGTGAATTGTAGATGTGTCTCTCCACAGAGGTGTGTACAACGATGTCTTCTTCATGCCATAGCGCTGTGTTAAATGCATGGTATTGCATGTTTAGCTCACACTATCGCACCGTGCACCTAACGTGTCGTACAGTGTGCAAGCTGTGTTACATTGCCATTCATTTGAATGGCACCCCAAGACACCTCCAAATGCACAAGGGTTAGATTTTGGAGTTACAGATGATGATTTTTTTTATTGGATTATTTCTATCCATTTTTAGGAATGATACATTTTGTGATGCTTAACATTTTGCACCCAAAATTATCCCACCAATTCTATTTTGCCAGAAACCAACTTACAGCTACCCACTGTTTGTCCGGGCTGATGGAAAACAGAATGAAAAAGTGCAATATGCGCATACACACCTTACGCTGCTTTGCAATGTAACAGTGTGCATGTTTGCGTCTGCAAAAAAAAGGAAAAATTTATAAACATGCACAGTGATAAAAGAATGTCTGTTTATTGCATAAGGAACAAAAAATTATCAATCTGTGAAAGAATGGTAAACATAAGCCGGATACGATTCATTATCTTCATACATTATGATCACTTATTAATTTAAATTGAATTATTTTAAAAGCAGTTGTGCAGTGTGGAAATCGGATTCTCACTGTACGCACACACTAGCTGATTCAACAGTTTTAAAAATAAGTGACAGCATAAAAGTCTCTTCTACCTCCCATGTAGGCTATAAAATTGTGGCCATAGGACGTTTCTACAAGTCGTTCACCTCCGATCTTCTGGGGAAAATAATTAAGATTAAAAAAAGATACTGACACTTTGACTGCATATCTGCAGGATGATAACTAATAGTAATAATATCAGTTAGCATTTTTAATGATGGCATGAACCCTGTTTTTACCTCCCACAAGTCACTACAATGTATTAATGTATTTCCCTTGTATCTTTAGCCCATGTATTATAGCCATTATGAGCTGGACTTTCCACTATCCATGTCCCTCCAACTATTCAGACCTTTGAGGTCACCATTTCGCCTCTAAACTACCCATCTACAGCCACTGATTCCATGTATCACTCCAGATTCCAGTCCTGATATACGAAATATGACAGTACTTGCCCCAGAGTCATTGAAAGTGCTGTCAATATGGACCCATGACAGCTGCTAACATGTTCTAGCCGGAATAGCTGCCAGTGCCAGAGTGATGTGGCATTATATATGAGTGTTGCTACATATTTGGCTGCCATCCAGTATGGATGGGGAAGTAGATTGGAAGCAGCTAAGTGTCAATTTACATAATAGTTTTTTTGTGGGTGCCCTGGGCAAATGCCTGTGGATACCAATTACTGGGAACAAGTGGGCGGGGAGTGACAATCTGACTTTGTTATATATACTGTATATAGATGAGTAGTTAATGGGCCCCATTATTGTATGAATTTTAATAAAGTAATTTTTTTTATTTTATGATATATGAATTAAGTTTAAAGTCCATTTCCACCTTTGTAAAGTGATTAGCGTCTATTGAAGTAATGAAAAGGTGCAGTGATGATGTATACGTGAGTACATTTTCATGAAGAGGAAAGCTAACAAAAAATTAAAGTTTTTGTGTTCATAATATAGCAACTGCATATGCCTGCTTCATGTACACTGAGTGTAATTGCTGGCGTATGTTTTTTAATGATACCTTTGCAAAGGTGGAAATGGGCTTTAATTGAAATATTTTTGTAATACGTGAAGATTTAATGTTGTATATATTAAATAGTATATAAAGGGGTTATTTGATTTGGCACCATTCACTTGGAGTAGCCATTTATATTTCCAGTGATTAACTGGTCTTATTTTGTATTCTGATATGTAAAGCTAAGATATTACCCAGGAATGAGGTGATCTTGCTTTGCCTAATAACAACTGGAAATCATAACATTTTGCTATTACCTATTAAACTGTATGTCTAGCCCAAATTTTTTTTTGGATAGAGTAGTAAAGGGTTAAAAGAGAACTTTGGGGTAAGTGTTTTTCCCCATACTTCTATTAAGGGTCATGGGAGGACATATACTAGCGTCCTCCCGTGACCCAAAGTCCAGTAAATAGCAAGCTGCAGCTCGTGGTATACTGGGACCGCCGCAGTCGGGACGGATGCCAAGAATACTGTCGAAATCCACCCAGCTGCGTGAGTGACAGCTGGCTCTGCCTATCTAGACGTAGAGCCAGCTGTGCCCGCCCCCTCCCCCGTTCGTTCCGGCACTCAGCGCTGGAGGAAGGGGGAATGCCCTGCGGGGGGAGTGGTGACTGACCGTCACCACTCTCTGCAGGGAGATAATCGGAAAGTGAGCGGATCGGGGCATGTTTCTGCTCACTCCCGATCGATAGAGCCGACCTATGACAGTATCTTTGTCACAAGTTGGCTCTAACTATGAGGATAAGTGGAAATCACTCACCTCATAGTTCTCCTTTAATACCTAGTAGAAAGCAGAAATCACCAGTACTCAATTAGTAATTTTCAAATGGTAGATGTCCATTTAATCGGACATAACGTCACAAATGAAAAAAACAACGCACAGGGTCCCTTCATCAGGGTAATAATGTGATAGGCCCCGAAAAGGTTGTTTTTTTCATTTGTGACGTTATGTCCGATTAAATGGACGTCTACCATTTTAAAATTACTTATTGAGTGCTGATGATTTCTGCTTTCTACTGTTGATGTGCACGGTGCCATCCGTGATTATCACTGCGAGCACCAGCATCACAATTTGGGCCGGGAACGCTGTAACGGGTGCAAAGGGACTTTCCATTTTCTCTTTTAATACCCGTCTTGGGCTTTACTGCCGTGCAGGATCCCATTACTTCCTGTTCAGTTGGCAGTGGTTTAACCAAGCAGGAAGTAAGGAAAACCATCAACAGGGGCACAGACAGCAATAAAAAGCTCAATCGGTTTAAAAGCCTTCATTACTCTACTAAAAAAAAGTATTTTTATTTCTGAGTAGCTGTTGCTGAAATTTACCTGTACTTCCAGTCTGGTGAAACCCTTCTCTGCAGAACAGGAAGTAAGGGGCTGTATCTGTAACAGAGCCTGACAGAAACAACACTGGATATCCACCGAAATAAATCTCTATCTGTCCCCAAAAAATTGTATAAAATTCATTTCAGTACAGCGCTGCATGACGGAATAAACGTCAGTCAAAGTATCGCAGCGCTGAATACTGAAAAATGGCCTGGCCAGGAAGGGGGTCTAAACACCTGGTCTTGAAGTGGTTAAAGTAGAGCTCCAGGCACAAATCATTTCATTTCTATATATTCCACAGTAGCCACAAAGGATATAATTCCACTTTGTGTCTTTTCAAAAGCAGAAACTGTCTTGGAAAAGTAGCTGTACCATCATAACTGGGTTGCTCAAAACATGTGCATAGAGCAAAGTTGAGTGGGGGGGCCCAGTAGGTCCACTCCCTACAGGCTGTCTTTAGAAAACTAGATGAGGGGGCAGATACAAGACCAGTCACTCTGCACAAGGAAAGAGAGCAGTAGTGCCTGGTCCTTAGTATATGAAGCTCCTGCACAAAGGCAAAGTGCAGGAGCTGATTTATGCTGATTACTGTACAATATTTTCTTATCCCGGAGTTCAGTCTAAGGCAGCATTTTCCAAACTTCCTTAAGTCACGGCACCCTTTAAAAGTAAGCAGATCTTGAGGCATCCCAGTGAAATGGATTTTAAGGGGGGAACTGCATGCAAAAACACAATAAATAAGGTTCCACTTTACATTCAAGTACTTCCTTCAAATTAGGACCCTGTTTCTTCACATCAGAGCCCCCCACTTTTACACAGAGTACCCCTTCACAACAAGTGCCCCTACCTTTTACATCTGAGCCCCACTCCCACAACAGGAGCCCCCCTTCACATCTGAGCTCCCTCCTTTCACATCACAAGCTTTGCTTCACATCAGAACCCCCCCCCCCCCTTCACATCAGGAGGATTTCGAGGCAACCCTGAGGAAGCCAATAGGCACCCCAGGCTGTGGTGAGGAATTGTGAATGCAGTTATCTAAAATTATCTTTGCAGTGCAATGCTCTCTGACTTTCAACACACAATGTTTCATATTATCATATTCAAAGTTTCATATGGCAATAGCTTCAGTTTTTCTGAGTAAGCAAAATACTTC